CTATTATATGGCGGGAATTACCACTATTCATGAAATCCAGTAGTGCTTGCCCAGGGGTTGTCATCTCCTCTGGATCTCTTCGCCTTTAGTTGACATTGCTACTCCAACAAAACGGATGTTTCATGATCAGCCAAAAAATACGAATCGGACAAAGGTATTAAATTAGGTATTCAAATCACCATTTCGCGTGTTATTCGATATTCAATTGACGTCATTGCGTCCACTTTACCGTCCTCTACCATAAATAATTTCGTTACTTGTAATATAGAACCTTCCTGAGCGGTATTTATGCTGCTTTCAATTTTAATATGACAGCTGTAAAATTTGTGGCAGTTTACAATACTTCATTGGCTTGAAGTGAGTCAAAACACCCAAACGATATGTAGCGTGCTCATTTGTGAACAGCGCAAAATGCTTCATAGTTTCCCAATATATTTTACGCTGTTTGGAAGCAGAATTACAGAAATCGGTGATAAAACTGAGCATTGTTGCAAAGTAGTCACTGGTTCAGCCTGCTACGCGCATTTGAGAGATTGATAGACATCCTTTTGCCCCAAGTCATCACTCCACCAGTTGTGTATAAAGCCATTTCATTTCATCGTGATGAAATGGTGTATGCAAGCGTGCGCGAGTTTGAGGTCAGATAAGCAAGTGAATCATCACTCACATGCGCTCAAATTTGTTTCCTGTGATCAGAAAGGATTTACTCCTTCTGTCGACCACTGAAAGCATTTTGACCTGTTCTACACGCCAATCAGTAGCAAACACCTCATTAATAATTACAATATTACGCTATGGTGTTCTCTCAAATGACGAGTTTTCAAAGTAATTATTCGTGTAAGTCGTCGAAATTGGTCTTATTAGATCCGAGGCTACATCTACTGATTAAGCCTCATTAGATCTTCCAATATTTGGGCATTGAAATATGAGGGCAGGTTAACCTAAATTAATCTGTAAAATAATCGCAAAGCTTTGTAAGCTTAATGGTGACATTAGACATTGAGCAAGCGCATGCTGGAAGGTGTATTCGAATTTCCAATTATCCAACTCAATATTCAACGTCTCCATGCCCTTACCTAGTTACTGCCCGACATTCAATCTATAATAAGCAGTCAACAATCTAAAGAAATACCTAGCTAATTGCAGGTTTGCTAATCAGTAAATTGGTGGGAACACCACCAGGACCCCAATTCCACTGATGCGGGGACAAACAGTGGACCAATCCCGCCAAATAAAAATACAACATTTTTGAATGCGCAGACGGATATGCACTCAGTCTATTATCCGCAACGCCATATCGCCATGGTTTCACCTCAGAATTCTCTGCTAATATATCACTGCCTTCGCTCTTACCTCGCTAGACATCCGCTTCTTATTTTCCTTCCCTTATACCTCACCAGTTCAGCAAAAGAAATCATTCCCGCATCACCAAACCAGTGCTCTCATTCACATACCACAACAATTGCCCAAGCTAACAGCTGTCAGTTTTGAGGAAATTGACAATTTTAGTTTAAGTCGATTACTTGAACCAAATTAATGGCTTTGCCGTCACTTACCCCAAAACTATCAAGACGCCCACACGTCTGCAATAGTGATGCAGCAGATGAACCAACCACATCAGTACATCTTGTCAAATCTACTCTCATCAGGTGACGAACCTGATCATCCAACCTGTCTTCGGGAATAACAAAACGATAGGTGTATTTCAGCAGCAACTTCATACCTCATCAATACAAACAGGCGTGCAAAGGATACCTGAAGACCTCTTGCGCTGCGGTCTGGTCCGCGACCAGTACACGAGCAATCATGATTGGCCATTGATCTGGAAATCACTCTGATCGCTGCTCGTGGATGCAACTGCCTTGAGTCGACCATCCAGATCTGATCAATCGGCTGCCTCGACTCGGATGAGGGCGTTCGTGCCATCGCTCGGCCCACATGCGCGGGACCCAACAAAATAAAACACATACCTTATTCTCTTCCTCCACTTTACATTCCAGTTCATTCGAAAACCCTTTAATTGGCAAAAAGGTTGTGAGGAAATGATGCGCTTAAGGTGTACCTCACAGTCTAATCTGTTTTAAATGCGACTCCCTTCGTAATATCTCTACAAGAA